CCGCCCCCCCGCCCCCACAGGGCGAATCCCGAGTCCCTCACCTCCCACTCGGCTGGACTTGGTTCTCGGTGGGCAAGCCAGAAGTTCATGCTCCCACCTGCACAGTCCAGCAGGAAGCAGGGCCTCCTCCCCAAGTGTCCCCCCAACCACCCAGTCAAGGGAGGGACTCCCTGCCGCTGGGCATGTGTGCTTCCCACCATAGGGAGTGGAAGGGCGGGAAGCAGTGGAGGGGCCTCGGAGAGTGGGCCAGCTGCTGGGGAGCAGAGGCCATGGGGAGGCCAGGGCAGAGGCCCGGGGGAACCAGGGCAGAAACCAGGGGGAGGGCAGGGCTCTGGGAAGCCGGAGAGGAGGAGCCCGGTGGCTTCCCTGCACAGACACCCTCACCCTCCATGACTCACGTAACACAGACTCTGTGTAGTTCCACGTCCCGCGTGGCTCAGGGTTCAGGCTCTGGAAGAGGGGCCACACGCAAATGAAAGAGACAAGACAAGAAATAACAATTTGGGAATGGGGGTGGGGAGCAGGTGGGAGCCCAAGGGGAAGGACTCCTGTTGGGCTCTGGCCTCGCCATCCTTTTATTCAGTTTGGGATACACCCATAGCCCTTAGGCAGGCAAGTTCCAGTAACAGGCAGACTATCTTATCAGTAAGGATTTACATGATTATCTGGTGGGGAAGTTGCTTCGGCTACCATTGTCTCAACTAAATGGTGGGTGCATAGCCCTGACCTTTGCCAGCCTTCGGGCTCCTTGTCCACACCTCTCTGCTAGAGAAGACAATAGGCGGCTTCCCACAAGACTCCACTTCAGGGAAAGGGACACTGTGCGTCTGAGGCAGAGGCCCGAGTGCATGGCTGGAAGGCACCCTGATGCCTTCAACCTCCTCCCGAGAGGAGGCTGCCTGCCCAGTCTGCCAGGGGCCCCTGAAGGAGGCAGTGACTGCCAGCTGCGGACACACCTCTGCCCTGGTGCTTCCCCGCTTCCCACATGGGCCAGCCTCCAGCAGGATCCTGCTCTGTCTCCTCTGGGCTCCCTGGGGGACCTGCAGGGAGCTGGGCGAGAAGATCTCTGTGTGCCGGGAAGGTGGCGCCCTCCCGAGGTGGGTATGGGGGGG